CCAAAGGTCGTAGGTTCGAATCCCGCCGTGGCCAGGCATATTTTTCAAGCCTGCCTGGTGTGGATATACACTCAGAGTAACATCACACAAACATATTATAAGTATTTTATAATGAAAATAAAAATTAGGAAAACAATCAAATATTCAAATGTGAAAAAAATTCCATTTTCTCTTTCACACAATCACAGTAAGGCCTAAAAAATACCTGTGGTTCCGGTTTCCCGACCGACCCTATTTCCTCCGGGTGGTTGCGGGCTGCTCGTACAGCGTGCCAAAATGGCGTCTGTTGTCACACTAATTATTGAAGCAAATTGCCTAAATTCGTCCATAGGAAATACGCATCTCTAGTTAATATTGATGTCCGGACTCTACTGGAAATCGCCCAGCAAAAAAGCGCCAAAAACATGAAAATAATATTCAAAAAAAAATTATTTCCGACCTACCTACCCTATTTTTTAGCGATATAAAACCGGAACCACAGGTATTTTTTAGGCCTAATTATTAAAATATATTTATTCAACATATCTGTAAATTGTAACCAAGAAACTACTAGGTGCATTCCGTTGACAATACGCTGCTGGCCAATGCCGGGTTCAGGGTTAGTTGTGAGCGCATGTTATTGCGCAGCATATACAAAAAATCTTCTCTTGACGCTTAAATCATCCTTTTGTGTTCTTTCTTTTAGAGAACTAGATTTCTGTACCACCCAGCAACTGGAATATGTTTATCTCAGTCTTCCACGCAAGATGCTGACATGGCAATATGCAATGAATCTGATTTATCACAAAGATGGACATTTCTGAACCTATAATGTCTACTAAATATATTGTCCCTCGGCTGACTCGTATCCAGTCGTCAAAGCTAAAAATTATACATTATGACTACATATGTAGTTCAGTGGATTGAGGAGTGTGAATCACTCCCATCATGCACTATTATTTTTTCAATCCTCATTCAGGGACTAGGTACGAGTCAGGTCTCTCGGTACAAAAGCAAGTTTTGCAATTGGCAAATTTTCCCTGAAAAATATTCTTGCAAGTTTTGAAAGGGCAGCGAATAACTTTAAACCACGCGCGTATTTTATAAATGATAAATTTTATTAGCCAACATTTCGCTACTTACAATACAAAAAAGAGCTCTGAAAATATTGTATTGTAAACAACGAAACGTTGGCTAATAAAATTTATAGAAAAATCCTTGCTAGTGTTTAGAACAAAATTGACAATGAACCAAGAAGGCATTCAGAATCTCTTCAAAGCTTTGGACAAATAAACTTGCATGTGTGTACTACGAACAAATGCAATTACGAATGGAAGCTTTACGGGATTATTTTCCATGAAACCTTCTGCATGCTTCTACCTAAGCAAGTCTACCTTCTGGTGTATAATTTTGACAGTGTAAAGAGTTAGCCTGTGTTCCAGTCCATTACACCGTTGTGTCCCACTATACACAATTGGATTTTGATACTAATTGTTATCTTGTGTGTTCTTTGTGGGGGGGGGGGGGGGGGGGC